TCCACATACACTCTTCGGGCCGTACAATTCTTCTTCTTCTTATACCACTCAATTAAGGTGACTGTATGTGGGAATTTCTTCTTAGCACTCATGGTTCCCCATCACAACAACCTATTCTTTTCTCTTCTTTAACACTCTTTAATTCTTTAATGTATTCTTCCTTTCTCTTTATCTTAGAGTGTTTTATCCTTTATTCTTCATTCTTCATTCTTTATTCTTATTCTTCTTAATTTTCTACCAATCCACATTATATGCACATATGAAATCACATATGCAATGTTACATAAAATTAAGGTTTCTACCCAACTCTACTTCACTTCGGCATTTCATCAAACAATATTGTGCATAAACAAACCCTAATTTAATTATCATTCTATTGGTTTCTTAACCCACCAAATGAAAGAAAACTCTCTTATCATCACCATACCTACACGCACAAACACTTCCCAAAGATTTCTCCAATTCTTCCAATTTCAACCCACCATCAAACCATCACATACACTCCTCATATTCAAATATATCCAACAACAAGCATAAATGATCATCAATCTCATCTCAATTTCTCAATAATCATAACATATACATATTTAAAGGAAATCTCTACTCACTTGATTTTTTTAAACTTTAACTTGAGTTGGATTTTGAGTGAATTTACTTACCTTATGCTTGAGTAGTCTCTCCTAAGCTCTCTTTACTCTTTTTGGATTCAAATCTTCTCTTAACCTTAAGCATAAACTTCATAAGAACTCAACTTTTACACAAATAAATCATAGATAAAGAGCATGAATTCTTACCTTTTGATGCCTAGAATTAAAACCCTATGAAAATCTACTCAAAAGCACTCAAATTCCTTGGAGAAGTGAATGAAAATTTGAGAGAAAATGGAGGAGAGTGGCGGTGGAATGAAAGAAATAAGGGTTACAAACCCTTATCATCTTATTTTATAACTCTGCTTTCCCATTTTGCCCTTACACTTTTTTAAAAATTTCATCCTTGTCCCTTAGTGAATTACCATAATGCCCTCATTTTTATTGTATTCTTTATGAAATTCTATCTCTTTTCACTCCCCACAATTTTAACTAATTTTGAGTGAAAAGACTATTTTACCCTTAATACAAGTTTAAGGCATTTTCTTCATATTCTCTTAAAATAATTCTAACAAAAATTAACTAAGGGCTATAAAACATAATTTAAATCGTGTACCTCCATGTTGGGCGTTACACTAACCTTCTCTAAAAGGGTCATATTCATTCTTTTAGCAACCTCATTCTGTTGAGGGGTTTTCCTAACTGTTCTATGTCTTAGGATACCCTGTTCAGTGCAATAAGAGTCAAATTCCAGGTTGCAAAATTCTAAGTCATTGTCAGTCCTAAGGGTTTTAACCTTTTTATCAGTTTGGTTCTCTACAAGAACCTTCCAGCTCTTAAACTTACTCAAGGCTTCATCCTTAGTCCTAAGTGTGAAAACCCACACCTTCCTATTGTAATCATCTACTATGGATAGAAAATAGCTACTACCCCCATGTGATTTTACCCTTTCTAGTCCCCACAAGTCAGCATGCAAATATTCTAAAAAATTGGCAGCCATGTGAGTTCCCTTATGGAAACTCAGCCTGTGTTGCTTACCCATGATACAAGTCTCACAAAACTCAAGGGGTACAATGGGATCCTTACCAAATAGGCCCTACTTTTGTAGGATGTCAAGGCCCTTCTGTCTCATGTGACCTAGCCTTAAGTGCCATTTTTCTGTAGCATTCAGGTTAGTCGAAAACAATGCAGAATTTAAACAAACAAAGAAATAGTTTCCACACAGGATATACAGTCCATTTCTTTTTACACCTTTAAGCAATACACTGTTATTTTTATAGACATTAAGGCACTCATTTTTAGCTTTGTAACAGCATCCAGATTCATCTAAAGTACCTAATGAAATTAGATTTCTCTTTAATTGTGGAATGTACCTAACCTTAGTTAACTTGACAGTTTTTCCAGTGTCTAGTCTTAGGGTTATATTGCCTATTCCTTGGACTTTACACGCATTGTTATTACCCATATACACAGTTTCTGACCTATTCTCCTCAAAGTCCTGAAACCATTATTTATTGGGACTCATATGAAATGAGTACCCAGAATCCAACACCTAATCATTTATCTTTTCAGTTTTGGATACTGTTAGAACTTCAAATTCTTCTATATTAGACTTAGAGGTTGCTAGGTTACTTTCAGTGTTCCCTTGTTTCTGTTTTTAAGCCAGGCATAGCAATTCTTTTTTAAATGTCTAGACTTGTTATAGAAGAAACACTTCCTGGTTTCTCCGTTGGTTTTACGGTTTTGTTTTCCCCTTTTCTTATTTCTAGAGCCATTATCAGACTAGGCAGTATTGCCCATCTGGTTAAATTCACCTTTTTCCTTAACAAACAGATTACTACTCGTTCTTTTCTGTACCTTAATCTCTAACCCGTGTATTGAAGGGTATTCTTTACAACCTGGTATTCTTGGTCAGGGAGTTCAACAAGATCATAGCTAAACTAGAGTCACCGAGTTCTTGATCTGTACCCTTTAACACTTGGGTCAATTTCAAGAACTCGTCAAGATTTTCATCAATGGTCCTAGAGCTATCCATTTTATATGCAAACAGAACACCTTTTAAGTAAGCTAAATTAGGGGCAGACTGTAAAGCATAAAGGGATTCGAGTTTACCCCATCCAACAGTCGGAGTTTCATGACCGTCTACCTTTCACAGGACGCTATTGGAGAGGTTCATAATGATCAGGTTGTACACTTCCTCCTCCACTTTTTTTTTTTTTTTTTTTTTTTAAGTTTCTCCTCTGACCATTTCGTTACATCTTTTTCCAGTGCAACGGCTACCTTATTATGTGATAATAAGGCCTTCATTTTTTACTTCTAACTATTGAAATCAATTTTCCCATCGAATTGGGTGATTTCAACTCGTGTAGTAGTCATAGGGAAGGGTTAGTGTTTGGATTTAGGGTTGACACAGGAAACCCTAATCTGGTTAGGATCGAATTTTGAATCAATTACGAGAAATTGATAGGACAATCTAAGGTTTTTCTAGCCCTAGGATACTAATTTGACTAATTATCAAGAAACCCCCAATTTGTATAACCCTAGGTTTCATGAACAATTCAGACAGACCAGAAAAATCATAATGCTAGCTCTGATACCACTGTTAATCTTTAATCAAACTCAAACCTAACCTGGTCCTCAATCAAACACAACTAACACACACATCCACTGCACAAATCAACCAAGAACAAAAACACAAAAAACATAGTCAAGATTTACCGTGGTTCGTTTATTCCAATAGAATAAACTACATCCACGTTGAGCTCAAAGTAATTGAGGCTCCCTATACTAGTAGGATCGAATTCGTTACAGATTACAAACAAGCAATACCAATAACCCATATCTCTCACTCACACAACCCTTCAATCTACCCCTAATCAACACAATCAAGACAACTGATATAAGCGTCTCCACCAGAAGAATCTACTGCTTCTTCTACCCACAATTCTAACAACAAACTGTGACCTGATTACAACTTGAAGGAATCAATACTAAGAAACCCTAGCACAGACAAAGAACGCGAGAGAGAGTAATTTTTCGATCTTATTTCTTCAGTGAAACTCAACTTTAAATAGGTTGACCATCTGGGCTGATTTTCACCATTGGATTAAGCTGAGATCAATGGCTGAGATCTGTCACTTAACATAACTCTAAAACGATAGTGTATTGGAGAACTCAATCGTTTGAAACTTCACTCAACACAATTGTTTTATATTTTTATTATTCTTTGATAGCAGTTGAGCTATATAGTAATATAATACATAACATTATATATATTATTACAACGATTTTCTACCTAAGGATGGAAAAAAATTGTAAAACAAATGTTTTAAAATATGTCAGCTTTGAAATATATATACAACTAACTGGGTCAATTAAATGGCTTGAAAATATATTTAACTACACACAATGATCTTGTATACAAAGCAAGGAGTTTGCTTGCAGTTGCAGCTCATAGAGACGGTCTTGGGTTAAATCAAGCTGAAGTGCTTTTGTTTCTGCTTCATATCAAGAGACTCTTTCGTTAGATTTTGCAAATCATCACACCATGTTTAGAGCGAAAGATTGTGAAGGATCTTCTTTCACCGAGGTATGTCAGTGTGTTATATATTAAAAGTAAAATTTTATTAATCATCTCTCTTTCGGCATAATCACCAGCGACCTCTAGTATACAGGGGAGTTAAAATCAGATTGCTTGTCTTATGATTATTAAACTTTTTTGTTAAATTTCATATATTTGACTTGGTTTTATGTCATCCATTTTCATCTCTTTTTCTGCATATATATATATATATATATATATATATATTGTAGTTGGTTTTTATTACCAGTTCGAGATGATAAAAAATTAATCGTGAGGGAGCAGAACTTCTAATAATTTAAAACATATAAAACTGGTCTTTAAGTTTAGGGTTAATAAAATAATCCTCCTTGGGTATAATTGAATAACAAAACTCCCTCTGTGGTTATACCGTTATAGAAATAACAAGCACTAATTAAATTTAAGAAATCATTTATAATATATATTTTGTATAATTAATACATTTATGATTGACCTTCACAAAATTTTAATTTTAAAAGTGTTGAATCATATCTTTACTATCAATGTCATCAAATACAATTTGAAAACATCTTTTGTGCATATACATCGTTTCAGGTCAGGTCTAACTCCACATATCCGGCAGCCGCCGTGCAAGCTTGTGGACCAGATGTTGATAATAGGTAATTATATGTGTGTGTGAGATCAACATTCAGAGTCCTATGATTTTGATTTTTTCAGATTTTCTTTTTTCCTCTTTCTCTTCGATATTACTCACCTTAATTTGCTATGCAAATTAATTAAAGTTGCCATTTCACAGTCATGGCAATAGGGAATATGCCAATATCAACTGGGATGAGCTCGGATTTGGTCTAACTCCAACCGATTACATGTATATTATGAAATGCTCTAAAGAAGAGAACTTTTCGCCAGGAACCCTCACTCCAGTAGGAAACATGGAGATGAGCCCTTCATCGGGAATTTTAAACTATGCACAGGTAACTTTTCCGAACTGAAAATTTGTACAAGCTTTTGATATAATGGTGGAACATATCAGCTTAACAGATAGTGTCATTTAACATTTAATTAGTAATAAATAGTCTTCTTCCAGGTTTTTAATCAAATTGATGTATGCTAGCACTATTCATGTACTAAAATGGTGTTGTATTTAGGGAATATTAGAAGGTATGAAGGCGTACAGGACGGAAGATGGGCGTATTCTACTATTTCGTCCAGAACAGAATGCTCTGCGAATGAAGATGGGCGCAGAAAGATTGTGCATGCCATCACCAACCATGGAGCAATTTCTTGATGCCGTAAAGCAAACTGTCAATGCCAATAAGCGTTGGGTAACTAATAGTTTAAACCCTTGTAATCATTTTTAAAATCCAAATCAACAATAACTCTATATACAATATAAAGAATTACAAACAGGTAATGTTTATCAACGAATTCTAATGAATTTATATATATGGATGGTGAATAGGTTCCTCCGCCAGGGAAAGGATCATTGTATATTAGGCCTTTGCTAATAGGAAGTGGATCAATGCTCAACTTGGGGACGGCCAATGAACATACATTTATAACATATGTTTCTCCTGTCGGCAATTTTCACAAGGTGCCAAGTAATTAGTGTAGTTTTTTGTGTTTGATGCAGGGGTTTATACATTTTAATGAATAAATCTTTTTGATGAGTCCATCGTGGTTGAATACATCTGCAATTGCAATACTTATTCACGTTATAAATTATTAGAAGACTAAAGATTTGCCTCAATAATAGGGGGTCGTAAATTTGGTTGTTGGGGAAAATGTTTATCGAGCTACGCCTGGTGGAACTGGAGGTATAAAAGCTATCTGCAACTATGCATCGGTAAGCCTATAAAGAAAACTATGAGCAATTTGTTGTATCTATTCTTAACATTTCTTCTCTTTTTTATTTCTCTTTTTTTTTTTTTTTTTAAATTGGTCTTTCTTTGACTATACTGTTACTACTTACATTAACTACTGTTCCATGCCTATCTTCTTGGCTGTAGATTTATAAAACAATTTCGGAAGCAAAGGCCAAAGGGTTCTCTGATGTCCTATTCCTTGATGTAGTAACAGGAAAAAATGTCGAAGAGGCTTCTACAAGCAACATCTTTATAGTAAAGGTAAAATTGATAATTAAAAAAAAACACTATCTCGAGTGACTAAATGGCTTCTCCCTTAACTCGAACACAAAACCCTTTGGTGTAACTAACTCGAGTGACTAAATGACTTAACATCCGACCACAAGAGAAGAGGTATGTTAATGTATTTTTTTCTATGCTAAATTATAAGTTCTAACACGTTTTTTTTTTTTTTTTTTTTTTTTTAAGGGAAATACCATTTCAACTCCAGCAACAGATGGAACTATTCTGCCCGGAATTACCAGAAAAAGCATTATTGAAATTGCTCGTGTTTTAGGTTATGAGGTGATTCTCTTATAATGCTTCAATTAGCGAGGCACATATATTATCAAATTCAAGATATATACTAATTCTCAATCACGATTTTGAACAGGTTGAGGAACGTGCTATCCCGGTAGAGGAATTGTTTGATGCTGAAGAAGTTTTCTGCACTGGAACTGCAGTAGTTGTCAATTTTGTTAGTAGCATAACCTATCAAAGTAAAAGGTATTTAACTATTGAGATTATTAAATCCTAATTATAGCACAATGAGAATGACACATTTTAAAGTTCATGGACTTTAGATTCAAGGTCCAAACACAACTTTCTTATTAATAAGCTGAATGCAGGGTCGAGTACAAGACTGGAGTAGAGACAGTGTCTCGAAAGCTGTATAATACTCTAACCGGAATTCAAACTGGTCGAATCGAGGACAAGATGGAATGGACCTTCACACTTGATTGATTAATTTTATCTTCATAAAACTGCAATATACAAAAGCATAATAAATGAGAAATAATTTAGTCCTATTGCTGGAAGGATATTGTTATGTTAATAATCTGTTTGTAACCTACGAGGACAAATCGCAATATTATGAATAATAAGTACTTGTGTCAATGCCAGATCCAGCTTATAGTTCTCTTTTACCTTATGCTTATGATAAATCTGAGTGCATCAAACTTCTTCTCTTTAATTCGTTCTCTAATGACAATTTTCACAAGGAACTCTCATTCCATTTAAAACATGTTGATCAGCCCTTCATCCGGAGTCCTAAATTATGGACAGGTAACCACCCTCATTGTTGTTTATTTTATGGAGAAAATAACATTGTAAATAATGGATTCTAATTAAGTAAATAAGGAGGTCTAAAAGCTTACCGGAGAGCGTCTGGTATTATTCCGGCCAGAAGAGAATGGTTTGAAATGAAGTAGATAGTATAAAATTACAGGGAAATGTGATTTCAACTCCAGCAACTCATGGAACAATTCTCCCTGGAGGCACTAGAAAAAGCATCATTCATATCACTCCTCTTTTCGGTTGCAAGGCACAAAATATAAATAAGATTTGTTCGAAGCTGCAGTTGAAAAAGCATCAAAATATATGTTTCTAAAGCCATATTCCACATAATTTTTTTCTGTAAAATTAATGCTGGGTAGGTTGAGCCATGGAGGAACGTTGCATTCAAGTGCAGTTGTTCGAAGCTGAGGAAGTTCAGGAACTGCAGTGGCTGTCTATCCTGTTACTAGCATTACCTAGAAGGTTTAAATTTTTGGATTCTTCTCTTTTCTTCCATACAATTACAATATTAATACAATACTCACTACTCACTAGTCGGTTAATTGATTGATTTTGAATAGAAAACAGGAAGCGAAACTGCATCTCAAAACTCAAAAGTTGTAGGAAATACTCACAGGAATTCATAAACTGAGATTGAAATTAGTTCATACTGTAATGTTAAGGACTATTCTCATCCCTCTAGAATAGATTTCAGGAGCGTTGTTTATGTGTATTTCCTACAGAATGGGTACTTAATGACATGATCATCAACCTCATAACTCAAGACTTTAAAGAACAGATAATATTATCTAAATCTAATTAGTCTGTGCATCATTTTTTACCCTTGATAAAGTTGAGAAGTGTTACAAACAAGTCATTCCAAGTATCCGTAATTCCTGGTAAGCACCAGTGCATGCAGTCATCGTGTTTCTTTCCACCGGCTGTGGAGGGATGGGCATCAGCTCTGAACTCGCTCATGTGGGTAATGTCCAAAACATGGAAATGTGACCCCTTGAGGGCCTCATACAGGTGCTGATTCACCACACGTGTTTCGACATTTGTTCCATTATTTTTTAGTGAAAAAAGTTCTTCAACCTGAGAGAAAACAGAAAACTTTAAATCTCCATCCTTATTCAGAATACAGTCTACATAAGCAAAAACTATGCATCTAAAAGAAATTGATACCCCTCGGGATACAAGCATATAAAATAGATCTTTACAGATAATGATACGATTACTATGCATGAGGTGTTTGAAATATCGTTTTAACAGAAAATGATATTCAATCAGATCCTGAGCATTAGATGTTACTCACTTGCTCCGATAACAAAGGCTGCAGCCGTTGACAAGAACCACCTTGGTCCCAGTCACCTCCTTCAAAATGTCTTGGCGACTGCGTACGAAAGAATTTGATTGCACCTGGTCGAGCAGTTTTCTCAACAAAATGTATCTGTCATTACAAATTCCATTAGAGAAAATAAAACTAATATCTAACTTGTAATGTACAGAGTTATAACTCTAATTACTATTTAATCGGGTCAAATTTATCATTTTCTTTTTCCCTCACCATCAAACTCACTATACCCACATGATTCATGTCATTAAAGATGAGATTTCAAAATACTAATGGAGTATGCTAAGTGAAATGGGAAAGCATTGCTTCTTTTAAACTACAGAAACAGTTGATGCTTCTAGGAAAGGCAAATCCGGGATGGATGTCCAAGTTAATGCAGGATAGAAGTAAATACAAAAAGCAAGACATTTGACAAAGCAATGAGTTAATCCATTCAATTTCTAAGGGAAAGCACCCAAAGAAAACCATGATAGGCACAATTAGATTCGCTAAGGTAACATATATAAGACAGCCGCATTCACTTCTGAAAAACATTTCACAAAACAAACAGACAATTCCACATCAAATAATTCGAAAAAGGTAATATCAGAATAGCAAAAGTCCTACAATAACCAAGAAATGGTCATGGCACTCCACAAATGCTAACTTGACCAAACTTTCCACAATTTCTGTCTAAAATTTCAATGAAATTCTCAATCTTCAACAAAAATGTTTCTGGGGTGACCATGTCATCCCCATTAAGAAGTAAAGCACAAACGGAAGGCCAATTCTCCAAACCAATCTTGCAACACTGTCATTCTGCATTGGGACAGTCATGTAAGATGACAACAGTTGATGTGAGTCATAAGAGTACCAATTATGAGAAACTGTGGATTTACCCATCATAAAAGTGAGAGGTGACCTTGACAGAGAACTATCGCAGCTCATTATTATATATAAATGCTACTCTTCGAAACCTCAAAGGGATCCTCTACATAGCAAATAAAATATTTTTAACCCCCCAAAAGAATTAAAAAAATATGTTTATATACGGTGGCTATATTTCTAAATGAAAAAGCATGCAGATTTACATCAAATAACTAAAAACCTGAACAAATAAAAAAGCTAAATTAGGAAATTAAATCTAAACAATATAAGTAACATTCTAATATAACATCTTAAATGTTACCAAAGTTTAGCCTTTAGCACCTCCAAAGCTTTAGGTAAGAGATCTAAAGTTTAGATATCTTTATCATGGATCAAGCCACTAGTCTTCTTATTGCAAATAGGCATACAAACCTAGACCCTGAAGACCCAAGCAAGCATCACATTTTACATTTGTTTTGTAAATTTTAACCAATTGTATCCCATTTTATAATCCAAAAAAAAAAAAAAAAATCTTCAATAAAGCAAGATTCCTCAACTTTATGTTCAATACTGTAAGTTTGTATGCATGCAAAAAAGAATTCAATAGCCAAAGTAAAAGCTAAAAGCCAATTTCTATCAGGCATTCACTATGTAAGCTTATTATATCCTACCGAACAGCTTATTGTTTTCTACCGAACAACTTATTATTTTCCACCTAAAAACTTAGCAAAACAAAGCATTCAGTGTCATACCATGTGTTTTAGAACTTTATCCAAACCAACATCAGGAGATATGGGAGGGATGATAGGCTGATCCTTCTCAAAGAAAAGCATGGGTGACTTTACAGGATCAAATTTTGAAGGTGCCCACCACCTGTGAACAAAATACAAATTTTCAAATTATTGGTTAGCAAAACCTATTGCATAGTAAAAATCATTTTTAATAAGAACAAAACACAAGTAAATATCGTATATATAAACACTAAACTAGTGAATGTGGTGAATGAACTATTCTGATCATATATGAAAACCAACCAAAATTTTCATTCAGCGCATAAACATAGGCAAGAGCCGAAAGACACTTCCAAGTGGTGCCACAAACTTCAGAAAAGCATATATATAAAAAGTAGGATCATTTGATATACAATTAACAATTTCAGCTGCCCCTCCACCATTTGTCATCTTAAATACCTGGAGAACTAAAGTTTACAACGATACAATGCACCACCATCTAGGAAATCATCATATCCATGGGAATCAATAAACTACAACACATATTAAAGATATTAAACTACCAGTGTCCTGTGTTGAATATTAAAATATCATGAAAGTTTGAAGCCTTTGCCCATGTAAGTTCTGGAACATCAACATCTACCCTATAACCCTCCTTATATCCAAGAGCTTCCAATGTACCACCATTAGCATTAGCTGACCACCTGCATTAAACAGGAGCACCGACTTAAGTGAGATGCAACACATGAATTAAGACAAACTACAGACGATATGAATGACCATGCAATCTTATATAAAAGATACCAATACAGGAGAAAACAAAATAGAATGTGAAATTTTGCTGTTGCAGAAATAGAGAACAAAAAATGCAAACTTGCACATGGACATAAAAAATATCACAACAAAAGACTGCGTAGATGACAACCACCAGAATAATCAACCCAGTGAGCATCTTCTTAACCAGAATATCTATATCAGCTAAACTTCTCTAAATTTCCCCCATCCATTCCCTCCAAAGGCATCTAAGTCTTTTAGTTTCAGTATCTTACTAAATAATACATCCTTCCTCAGATTTTCAGTTTGATTACTTATGTTAATATTTCCATGAACAATCTCTCTTTGAGTGCCAACCAATTTCCAAAAGTCTCTAATTACATTAAGACTTTGAATCCAATCAAAGAGTAGAGCTCAGATTCTATGCTTGTTCTTAAATATCACTGCCACTGCCTCTTCACTGCCATCAAAAGCCATCACATGAAACCACACCGCTACCACCAACTGTCTCCTCTTGAACCAATTTTTTAACCCTAGTACCTAATATATACTCCGACCAAAGGTTCCGATAGCAAATTGGATACTAGGAGCAGACAAATCTCATGTGCCACCATAGGACGGTGAAGAGGCAAAAGCTGAGATATTTGGGAGGTTTAAACAAAGTTCAGATGAAGTGAGACCTTTAGGGAAAGTTGTAGCTTGGCAAGAGAAGAAGTCAACGGCAGTGGCTCTGTCATCGATGCACAATGATTGGTGGCAACACATGGGTGTGGTATGAGGCAGGTGAGGTGACTATTTTATTTAGCTTCTATCTCTGGGATTCTTGGACTTATTTTTTTCAAATATTTGTATGGTATTATAGAAAGTGTGAATTTATTGATGACTATTAGAAGTGATTTTTATGTTTTTGGAAGTGTTTAAGCAAAATGTATTTTGGAAGTGATTAAAGTTTTGTTTTCAGTGTTTTAGGAAAGCCAATATGGATAGAGTTTAGGCTGAAGCTATGATACGATACAAACAGTGGAGAACATGAAGAATAAAATGGTACAGATAAAGCAAGAAATAGGAGAACATGACGAATAAATACAGTACTTTAGCTTACCTACCGTAACGTGCCAAAAGATTTGTTCGATGATATGCA